AGCATAAAACTATACTTATTTATTTATTTTTTCTTAATTTCAATAATATAGCTGTAAGAATATAACTAAGCTTTAAAAAAAGTTATATTCATTGTTATAGGTGAATGTAGCGGACATATGATTCCATCAATCAGTTTCACTCATCATTGAAAAAATAATCAACACAAATTTTATTATCATTATTGTCAATTATTCACAAATCAAGGATAAAAATTTAATATAAGAAACGGCAGCTTAACTCCCAGAGAACAGTCGCTATATGAGGCTTATTGTTAGATTGAAGCTTTTTTTTCTTTCAAATTGGACTTAAACGGCTAATTTTAATTTAAAATTAATGAATATCATGGCTAAAGCCAACTTGAAGAAATTTGTACAGACATTGGGCTAACAGTCTCATAAAAAGTGATATACACGATTTTTAAACACCGCAAAAGTGAGCTGAAAGAATTTTATTGCACCAGCGTGTCCGCTGTTTTTTCCCAAACGAGAGAGGTGTTAAATAACTGAATTTATTTTATAATTTTTAACTGCAAACATTTGTACAGCGCCATAAAACGCGTTTACGACGCAATTAATTAAATCTGATTTTTACTACTTGAGAGCTTCCTCGATCCTGCTCTGTGCTTTGTATGATGCGCGCACACGGTCGTATAATAAAGTGCACTCACTTAAAAATTTAGAAACATCCAAATAAATATTCATGTATAAAAAAATCTAAAGCCACACGGGCGAGTCAACAAACTCCACCCGAGAGTGAGGGAAAGAGGTGAATCAAAAATAAGTTTTACGGCCGGCCTAATGAATTGGTCGGATTCCGCACTTGGGCCGCTTCCAAGCCTCCGAAAAACAATTTGCTCCATCAATGCCGCACTTTATGGGCCGTAAATCAAAGTCATGCGCGCATTAACGCGAACATTAAAAAGCCGCACAACCTCGGCCAGGTTTTACGACCTCGAATTTCCACCCGCCGAATATCTCGGCCCGATTTTCTCGCACCTTTTGGAAAAGGCGCGGTGACTTTTCTCGCTCGTTTCGCTCGCTGGAGGTTTGCCGGGGGCCACCTGAGGGCACCACCTCGTGGGGCGGCGCGGCCGCGAGGCCTCGAGGCCGCCTCCCGGGACGACATTCCCACGCCATCTGCAACTTGCCGATTGCGTCACGAGCAGCTAAATTAATTTACTTACGCCATCGGTCGAGCTGCAAATCAACGAATTGTACGCCGAGTGGCCTGAAAATTGGAGCTGCCGAGCAGAGATGTCTCTAAACCGGGGCCAAACACGCCGGCCGACCGGCTGGTCGATATACTGAAAGTGGAATTATTGACCATGTTGTGAAGCGAGCAAGGTGCTGCCGAGCGAATTTTACTCTGCCGAATAGCACCTGCGTTCGAAAAAAAATTCCAGAGTAAAACTGGTGACGCTCAACTACTCTTTCAGCTTGATTGCACTTTATAAGTGATTCTTGCAATAAAAAATTATAGAAAAAATATCCTTCAAGCTAATTTTTAAATAATAATAAAGAATTTTTTTTAATTTTCTTGAAGTTAAAGTTTAATACATTTTCAGTCAAAATAAAATAATCTTCAAATTATTGTAAGATTTTTCCACATTTTTTTTACTAATGAAACTCAACAAACGAGCCCCTGAAATGCACTCTGTTATGCAACCACCGCGCCTTGCATGTTGTGCAAGTTGCATAATTAAAATGAAGAGAATGTTGTGCTGAATAAGTTGGTCTGGCGTTTGATTATTCCATATACTTTTTTCTTTTTAAAATTTATGATTATAAAGTTAAATAAACATTATTAAATTTATGAAATATGTGAAATATCAGCTAGATTATTTTTAGTGAAAAACACCCAACAATTTTGATTAAAATCACTCAAGAAGTCCTTCAATTAGACACAAATAAAAAAAATGAAAATTTTTTGTATTTCTTATGCCCTTAAATTAAAATGTATTTTTCTTACTCATCAATAAAATTTAATATATCAAGCAATTATTTAACAACGAAAAATATTTTTTATTATTCGAATCCGAATAAAAGACTTACGGTAGACCTACTAAACCCCTCAAGTGTCCGATTTTGGTGTCCACGGCGGACGCGAGATGGCTCTGCAGCAGGTGCTGTCCCGGCGCAATAAATTTTACAGCTCAGCCCTCCCATTCCGAGGAGCAGAGGCGGCGCTTACGGCCCCACAGAGATGGACCAGAGTTTTGTCTTCTTTTATCCCATTGTTGGCCACCGCACATCGTTATTGCGCATACAGCCATGTTTATGTGTCGATACAGAATAAAAATTAAAAAGCGCCGTGTGCTCTGCTCGCTGCTCTGTTATACTCTCCAGCCAGCAGCCACTCTATGCATAATTGAATTAGGCTGCGGAAAATAGTGAGAGAAGAGAGCCCGGCGCTAATTTAGCGCCTCTCGATGGCCTCCGCCTAGTAATAATTAGCTGCTGACTTATTAATGAGTCCTTTCATGAGCCGAAGAAAATAATTATGTGCCACGCTTGACTTCATTTTTATTGGTTGGCATGACCAAGAGTTTTGATACAGTGTAATAACTTTGAAAGGACTTGAATATGGGTTACAATATTGTTTTATTTATTTATTTGCATTAATTTAATTATTTCAAGTAGTTTTTCAAAGCCATGTTATTTAATATAATTGATTTCTTTTTCAACTAAAATTTAATATGAATAATCATGAATAATTTAAACAAATTTAATCTTTTAGGAATTAAGAATAGTTATGGCATTTGAAGAGACGTTAATAGAAAAGAAATTGAATTTCAGTCCTCTCGGGGAAAATTATTTTAACTAAAAAGGAAAATGGATCTGCCAGTTTAATTTATGATCTGTCACTCTAATTTATGAGCAAGATCATAAAATGAAATAAATCAGCAAAATTTGAAACTACTTTTTTAACAACAAATTGAAATCTCATAACCAAAACAAATGGGAAGTAACAAGGTTTTCAAATTTCTGAGTTTTATTATTTTTGATAAAGGTAGCAGATCTTGACTGAATCTATTGTGGGGCGTTTTTTAATTAAAATAATATTTAAACAAGGACAAAGTCAGCTGTTTTTTCACTCTATTAATTTTCTATTTGTAAATCTAATCATATTTAAAAATTTCAACTAATAAATAAAATTTTAAAATTTAAGCCCACATTAATAAGTGAAAATTTGACAGAAAAAAATTAATACTTTAGGGAAGGGACAGTTAATTAAAATTCACTATTCAAAAATAGCCGAATACATTGCTATGGCTGGAATAACAATGAAGAGGTCGGGGTCGCTGCTTGCTCTTTTGAAATGTTAAAAAATCAATAAAAGTGCTCACTGAGTCATCCACTCCCCAACTCTGTTCTACACCTTGGGGCCACTGCTCAACAATCTGAGAAAAAAAGTAGCTTCCACTTCCACTCGGAGCAACAATCGATTTTACTTTATATTAACTAATGCACCTGCCTCTGTCGCGTGGAAGTGAACTGAAATTCGCAGACGTTCCCATGAGGAAGGCTATATAATTACGCTGATGTTTGGAATGTCGCCCATTACGCATCACGAAACATGCAATTACCCAAATTTGAGTCGCATCTCGCTCAATGCAGCGGAGTAGAAATTCACTTGTGCTGTTCGCGTCGCCGCGTGTGTATTTATATGAGCCATAAAAAATACATAAAATATATTTTACTGCGTGGTCAGGTCATTTGGAGTGCACGAAAATGAGATTTTATTTGGCTGATAACCTTTTTATTATGCGCTGTGTGTTCTATATATTTATAAATAAGCAGTGCATTATACGCTGTACGATGATTATTATAGAAGGGCAGCTGGTGGCTTCTGCTTAAATCTGATGATTTATTTTTTATTTATGAATAAAAATGATAGTCATTAAATGTTAGTTAATTATAAAAAAATTAACATAAAATTTTTATTTATTCAAGTCTTACTTTAATTAATATTTTTATTGAATAGATACTTATATAAAATATTTAACTACAATTTTTTTTATTTTTTCATAAAAATTTATTTATAATTATTATTGACGTTATTTATGAACATAGAAAATTGAAATGAATATTTGAAATAATAGTTCTTTTTCTTCAAATAAAATTGTTTGTAGTGCTCATAATTGCACACAATTATTAAATGAAAAATTATCATCATATCTGTTCTTCTTTTTTTATTTGGAAGAAATATTCAATAAAATTTTAAAAATTATATATGAAAATAAATCACTAAGTGGACAAAATGGGGGGAAATTTTTATTGATGTGTTATGACTTGACTTCAGAATGAATTTCTAAACTGTTTCAAAAGCTATTTGGTTAGGCTCGTATGGCAAATTCTTAGCAGACCAGAAGTTGCGGATTTTGGAGGGAAATATTCGCCAGTTTGAGCTTGAGTTTCGGGTGGGCAAACGACCCATCAGGCGGAGAGGAACAAACGTCCAAATCAGCAATTGGGGCCGCGCCGAGTGACAGCAAAATGACGCAATAAGGAGCACCGGCGCATTATTTTGCGCCATATCTGGCGCATTTTTGGTGTTGTGTGTGTGTCGTCGGTGTGTGTGTTTTGTTATTACAGGAGGAGGAAGGGCATAAAAGGCGGCAGGTAATGGGGCTGGTGAGATTCCCGTGCATACCGCAATCGTATAATATCGTGAGCCGCAAGAGGAGCTGCGAAATGTGCTCAGATAAGCTGCTCTATTACTTTTACGGGGTCGTCCGCAGCGCACAAATGGCGGCAACTCCGCCACCGGCTCCGGAGAGCGGCGCTCGCCGAAAATGGCGCTATATTGCCGCTTTTATTATATCGAACGCGCGGCCGAATGAGCCATCCGGACTGGCGTTTTTATCAATTTTTGCCCCGGCTGCCAAAAGCATCTGAATTTCTTATTCGACCACCATACGAGCGGTTGTGAATAAAAATTTTTTTAATATAAAAAAATAATGAATTTTTCTGATGAATGAAAACAACGGGACTTGTATGAATTATACTTTTATTACTGCTGCGTTTATTCGGTCATCATAATATCCTATCTACATTCACAAAGACATGTTACATGCTACGGCATAATCATATTCGTAAACCAATCCTCCTAAATTGTACATAGTGAAACAGGCGGCAAAATTAAAAATTATAACTGAGAAAAAAATCAATTAATCATCGTGTGTTTTGGGCCGGTCGAGAATCTTCAACCAACTCGAAAATCGGATTTAAAAAAAATGATGTGACAAAAAAAATTGCGCTTTGAACGAAAAACTTAAAACTGGAAAATATTACATATTTGAACATTCTTCGAGTTATAGGATACATAATAATAATAATTAATTAAATTCAACAAGAGCGGAGGATTATGAACTGAAAACATTTATATAAAAATTCACAAGATTGGATTTTATCACTAGGGCCTATATTTATACATACACATGTATATATATCAGAAACACATTTACAGCGACAACACAGACGGACATTGTGTGAGAGAATTTATATAAGAGTGAGTTGATTTGCTAAACGCCTACGGGTTTACATTTAAAATGTATGTGTGTGCAACTCGAATAAAATTGTAGTTTGACATTTTATTTCCTTGAGCGTTAACAAGCTTTTCTTGAATTTATTCGTGCAACTCTTACTGATAAAAATCATCTCATTTGCATGCACACTATTTCTTTCTTTTTCACCGGAGAGAGAGGATTGCGAAACGTATCATTAAAAATGGCAAGAGAGGTAACAAAAAGTTCGGCGAGAAAAGCTAATGTTTGCACCGTTTAAAATTACACTCGTCGCGTCCACACAACACATTTTTAGAGAAAGCATCCTCTGCTGAGATGCGCACACGTCATTTACTCGTTGTTTTTTTTTCCACAACCATACGAAATACACACCGGTTGAATGAATTATGCTGCAAGTTTAAGTATTTAATGCTTTTAGGAGAGTGTGTCGCCGAATTGCAAATTTTCACAATATTTATTTACGCCGAGAGATGGAGAAAAATTCCAAAAGGTCAAATCATTGATTTCAATATAATACGTACACTTAAAATTTAGTATTTGCAATAAGGTTTCTTGAGACAAGAAGGTAGCGCGCGTTGATCAATTCCAAAATTTTTTAAACGATAACTTTAAATACGAATATTACAGCGACAGACGTGAATGAAACTCACAATCCGATCAATTTTGTTAATAATATTTTTTATATATGATTAAATTGCTTCTATACACAGTATCCTCCTGATATTGTAAAAAAAGTGTAACTCACAAAAATCAGTAGACCGTATACATAATTATATAAAAATCTAAATAATTATAACTGATTCAAATCATTTCATCTGTGCTGAAATAATTAACTGGTGCCGGCGGGGAGAGAAATTTTGAATTTTGCTATTTATCACAGCATTACAATCTACCTTCAATTTCCTTCTCATGCATTTTAATTTTACTACAAGAATTTTTGGAATATAGAAAGAGAGAGAGAGAGATTCAAAACGTTGGGCAGGGATTTGGCTGGATTTATAGTTTAAATATTTTCATCCGTTTTTTTGTAAGGTGAGACGGGATATTAATTAAATATTTACACGCGTCTTTCTTTCTTTCTTTCTTTTGTTTAGGATTTTGAATTTCCGCTCAGTGTTAGCCACGTATAATGTTAAAATTAATATATTTATAAAGTCGCGAGTGAGGAAGGAGGAGGAGTGGGGAGTTTGGAAGATTATACAGCACACACGCGAAACAAATTTATTACCGCCCTGATAGGGCATATTAAAAAATTACAGGCTCGGCATTAAATTCTCATACTCGACGGGATGCTGCCGAGAGATAATGAGAAAATAAATCCGCCTGCGTAATATGCAAAATACCGTGTGTGTGCTGCGAGTATAGGAGGGATGGCGCGGCGAAATTACTTTTGGAAAGCAGCGTGGGGGAGAGAGCTGGAAAGTCGCTTTTTTCAAATGAAGAGAAATGGCTGCGCTGCGGATGAAAGTTTGGCCGGGATTTAGGGGTGAGCCGGTGCTGCGAATAATCGGCGGGCGTTATTTAAAAGTTGGAAATTAGAAGTTATATACCGAGAGAGATAAAAAGCCGCCGGGCCGCCTGTTCGGACACCAAAATGAAAAAAACGAGCGTCCTCTTTTTTTTCGCGAAAGGCGCCCGGCGTTGTAAAAACCGTCTTAGTTTATTTACAAGTTTTTAAGTTTGCAACTTTGGTGAATTTGTGCCAAAATTTACGAGCGTTAATTAAAATTCACTCATCCTCTCGCACTGTGCATCCATGCCTTATTAAAAAGCCCTACAGTCTAAGCAACACCGAAATGCATCAGAGACTACGTTTCCATTTATTACTTTTGCTTTTTATTTCGTCCGATTAAATCCCAGAGAAAACGACACGCACAAATATAGGCCCTAGAAGTGATGAGATCCGCGAGTGTGAACGAAAATATCGTGGCAGAAAAGTGTCCACCTGTGTCTACCCAATTAATTAATTCTTGAAGCACATGCACGAGAGAGTTTGCTGCTTTTTACTGCTGCTCTTACACCCTAGGAAAGGATACACGAATTTTTCAATATTTGTTTTACCAACCCCAAACGCCTAAGTTGAAAATTGGATCGTCCTTATTAACTATACGTACATCGTCAGTGCGTTCAAAAGTTTTCTTTTAAAATATCCTATCCTTGTATTTTTAATGTTAGAGATAGCGGTGTATAATAGGGATATTACTTTTAATTACGTCATCTTGGATTTTAGTGTATTTTTAAGAAAGTGTGTTCCTTACGTTTTCTTTCTTTTTTTTTGTGTATAATTTTTCTGATGCCAAACGCACACGATTTTTATGATACTGCCTCCGTTCTGTTTGCAAAATGTCATCCATCAGAATCACGAATTAATTTAAACTCTGCCAGAAAGGGGCAAAAGATTTAGGGGCGTTTTTTTGATGGATGTAAAAACGCTTACCAGGGAATGCCAAATGATTCTGGTGGGTCTAGTTGTGATGATTTTTCCTATTAAAACGACACTGCTGAAATTTTTACCTACCCTGACACCAAATTACGTATATGTACTCATATTTATGGTAATTATTCCAAAGTTGGTTTCATACTTTTTCAAAATACTCTTAAGCCCCCTTGAAAGATTGCGCGGGCGTCAACAGAAAAAAGTGTGACTAAAAACGTATAGAAAAGGTGAAAGTTTTAATTCTTTTCAAAACTTGAGAGAAAGGGGTGAGTGTCTGAAAAGAGGCAGCCGTCTTTGCTCAGGAGGGGCTGGAAAGTGTCCAAAAGAAAGCCTTTTGTTTGCAAGAGGGAAACGTCATTCAATGCATCTTCATGGAGGGACTGACGCGAAGAGAGAATTGCAGAGGATCGTTGTCATAAAAATTACTTGGCACAAATTTGGCGGAATTCGCACATTCCGTACGGCAAGAGTTTCATTTGTATGTGAGGTTTTTCCATTTTCTTTTTTATCTTCCTTCATCATGACAATCGCTCGATAATTATATAATTAATTGTACAATTAATTACGCATTTAAGTGTTGCATTCTTCCGCGAGTAGTGTTAGTAATTATTTCCTTTCAGTAGAGAGAATCAGTCACATAATAACAACAGCTAAAATAATAATAATAATAATATATGATCATAATTATTATTACAGTGTCCGAAACACTCACAACCAAAGAGAGCTGCCTGGCAACACAACTCAAAGTTAAATCAGAGAATTTTTTTCTTATTCAAGTCGTCGGCGAACTCAAAAATCGGCATAAGCACACACAGATCAACAACAGATCGATCACCTGTCTGGCGAGAAACGTCCTAAGTCGGCAGTCAATCAATCTCTGCGCGTGCGAATATTATACTAAATGCTGCTATGGCAGGAAATCGTCTTCTCAAATTGTATTTTCTCGTTGGCATTTCCTCAACGAAGGAGCGGAGAAACTCAAAAAAATTGTATGTCCACTGAGAAACGCAAGGAAAATATCTTTTTCATCGCGACTAACTAAACAACGGTGGATACGATTGCGGGTTGATTTTTACTGTTTTTCCAGAGGTGCTTCTTAGGAGGCCTTGCCGACGCCCTTGATCAGGTCACCGCCCATCAACGCCTTGTCCATGGCCAGTTTGGTGGCCTGGTGGAGCTGCTCGGCGTGTTGCTTGGCCGCCTTTTCGTGTTGTTGCTGTTGTTGCTGCTTCAGCCGGTCCTGTTCCTCGCGTTCCCGACGGGCCTGCTCGTTGATCTCCTTGACGGCGCGCAACTCTTTCTTCAGCTTCATGCGTCTGTTTTGGAACCAGATTTTGATCTGGCGCTCCGTCAGGCACAGAGCATGCGCGATCTCGATTCGCCGCCGTCTCGTCAGGTAGTGGTTGAAGTGGAACTCCTTCTCCAGTTCCAGGGTCTGGAAGCGGGTGTAGGTTTGCCGGCCTCGCCTTCGCGGGCAGCCGTTGGGACCTGCGGGCAGACAAGAAAACACACACGCATTAGAGATCGTTAAAATGCTGCTTTTTACGACTCTCAGCTTTTGCTTGCATGCCAAAAATAACACTTGAATTCATATACCAAGACAGAGAGAAAAGAGAAGAGGCTACACATGTGTAATTATAAAGTGTGCTTTTATGTAACTGTAAATAGCAAAGTGGAGCTGATTAAAGCTACTTTTTTATTGCTTTAATGGCGCTGATGCATATTTTAAGGCCCAGAATTAATCAGCACCTGAGGAATTTCCACGAAAATTTATGGCGTCTCTATGCGGAAACGAAGAATTATGTTAATTTGTCAGCCAAATTACGGTTTTCTAATTTTTAATTTGCTAAATAAATGTCTAAAATTCAGCCTAATCTTCAATTCGTGGTGGGCTGGAGATAAATTTGAAATCGGTTTTCAAGAAAGGTGGAATGCAACCTGTTTGACATCCTTGTAAGGTAAATTGCATAGTTTACAATCTTCCAGGTAAATATTTGCCCTGCAGGTTGCATAACCTCATCACTTGGCTGCTCAGATAAAAGGTAAAATTCTCGCTTTATTCTTTGGAAAATAAATTTGTTTCTCAAAAATATCATTTATTAAAACGCATGTCTAGCTAAAAAATTAAATTTAAATTAGAAGAAGTATGTTTTGAATTAAAATTTAGCATTTCTAAAAAGTTTTAAAATGGTAATTTTTTTAGGTTTTCTAGAAATATCGGGCCAATATTATTATGGAATATCAGTTAAATCTTTAATTTTTCAAGCTAAACACCTTTGACTTAGCCATAATAATTTTTATTAATGTTATTTAACTTATTGATTTGTATTCAAATAAAATTTTAATATTTTCCAACAAATTAAAAGCGGAAATTTTGGTGATGTCTTAAAGTTCTTTTAGCTTTTTTGGTACTGTATAAAAACAGCAACGCAGCAAAAACGGACACTCGGTCGATAAAATGGCACCTGACTCGAGCCGGGACCTGCCTAGCCTCTCTTCCTAATTTATGGGGAAGACAATAAATCTGCCAAATGTCAGCCCCACCGGCGCAGCCCCTGCACGCGGTACAAACGCATAAATCGATACGGAGAGTCAGGCGGGGGTCTCGGGACGAATACATGTTTTTAGAAAACACACGGGGGATAAATATCGTTTCGCCGGGCCAGCGTCTGCTTTATTTTTTAATTTATTTGGATGCTCATTATCCGCAGTGGTACAGGTGCGTGTCCCGGCCAACTAACACCTTTTGTGTGCGCGCGGCGGCGAATCCGGTTTTTAATAAAAGACGAAGAGGCTCGCCCACGTGTATAAATCGAGGCAGTGTCAAGGAAAAAGCTAGGGGGGCTCCGCTTGATGCCAAAGGGCGTCTCCGCCATCAAACACATGGAAATAAATCTTGTCGGACAAAGGAAAGGAGCCCCGCATCCTCTCCGCCCTTCTCGAATTAATTACTGAATTTTCTTGCTACGCTCGTCAGCACTAATGGCCGCCTCGAATGGTCTTTTCTCTTTTTTCGTTGCAACAAACTGCTGTTTTCATTTCATTGCGGCCGAACAAACGCCGATTTAAGCCTCGAAATGCCATAGGCAGTCCATTTAACAATGCCGGCGTCGATTTTATTTATTCACGCCGGCGCTGCTGTTGGCGGACGGCAATCGAATTTAAGACCGGCGCTGCTGAACAAGCAGCAAAATGGCGCTATACCATATAAAAGGGATTTTTGCGAGCATCAAACAGTCGCTAAAATGTAAATCGCCTTTTGTTCTTACTACAATGCTCGTGGAGAATGGTATGCAGCAGTTTCTTTGCCGAAATAACAGACACCACGCGCCACCGAGCCTCTTCCTCTTGAAATTTTATGCATATCATTTCGAGGCCGAGAGCTTTTTCAAAATTTAGCCTGCCCTCTTTATGAATATTTGTTGTAAGCTGCATCAGGCCATTTGGTTAAAAAATGTTTTTTAATTTATTTATTTGTTTATTTATTATTTTTTTTGCTCTAAATTTTAATTCCACGTTCATCTTTCCCCAGATATTTTACATTATATTATTTTTCAACTATAAACAAACAAAAGTAAAATTTAAAAAAAAAATCTCTCCAATGTATTATTATTATTAAATGTTATTGTTGTTGTTTATTTGTTCAAATTTTTAAATCACATTGTTAATATTCAATTGTTAATTTTTTTTCAAAAGAAAAGGAATTTTTGGACAAAACGGCATCACCATGACTAGCAAGAATTTTGCTCTTCCAAGATCAAAAATATTCCGTCCGCCGCAGTGAGCTTAATTTTTTTAATAATTTATAATTCTTTGAATTATGAAGTTCTTCGTTTTAGCTGCCTGTATCAAATATTGTAGGCAATAATTTGATACATCGTTTCTTGGTGTCCACCAAATATTCGCTCAAGTTCATACACATGTCGGCATAAATATAAGCCAGAGTTAAATAAGCTTTCCCTTGGTTCGTATCGCATTACATGACATCATCAAGCCGCGCACAGCGTATATTAATTTAATGGCTCTATAAAATTTTTACTGCTCGTCGCAGCCGCAACAGAGAGACAGAACAGGACAGGTGACATTTCGCCATCGGCTGCATTATTTCCGTACGTTTTCCTGAAAAGCAGCAGCTTCCTTTTTTTTTTTAATTCGGCTGCGGCGTCGAACGATTTGTTTATCCTCGCCAGGCATTTGCAATTCAAACAGCCGTGTTTGTAGTCCATAGAGTGTAATTTTATGCTAGGGTGGCATGAGCCAGCCAGAGCCAGTGGTGGCTCAATGCGCTCGCTCATCTATTGCGTTTTATGTAACACGGCCCATAACCATATACACAAGTAGTATTGGCCACCATAAAACTTTGCCTCGCTGGATGGATGCTGCTCTGCGTGTGTGCGGCGCTGCTTATGATAAAAGTTGATGCTTTTTATGGTAAAAAAGTGGCACCATTGCAGCTCGTGCGCGCTCAAAGCTGCTGCTGCTGCTGGCCGCAATATTTCAGCAGCTCAGCTCTTTCGGACGGAAACTTTTATATTAAAAATTATTACGGCGTGGCTGCTGCCGGGGAGCGAAAGATATGCGTCGCTGCTTGAATTATGGAGCCATCCATGAAGCCCAATAATGCAAATTGCGGTTAAGTGACGTCAAGGAGAAAAATATAGAGCGACGACGATATAATAATACAAAACCGCGGAGAAAACACTTAAGCATATATAAGAGAGAAGCTGAATTTGCAATTTTTATGGTCGTGCTTGATGTTGTAATGCAACTTCCTTGAAGTACATAACGGCCCGCGAGTGGCATAAACAAACACTTTCGGCCCACAGCATGTATCAAATTTATTCAAAATGAAGGTCGTAAAACAAATTAAAAAAGGAACATCTCCCCTATTTCAGCATCAGTTAATTAGAGTGGGAGGGACGAAGATAAATTTCACCAAGGTGTCTGCGCTTAATTTAGTAGTGCACCCCCAGCAGTAATTATGCCCATATCTGGCTGCGATAGGCACATGTGGAGAGAAGTAATTTCATGCAAATCGAATTTATAAAGTTCTCTCCCGCGCCGCTGATACTCTCGCAGCTGGCGCACTCGGGGAATTTCCAATAAAATGGCTCCACCCCAACACACAGAATTCCACCCCGATGGTATTTAATATTAATGAAGGTTTAAAATTACAGCAGCCCCTGTGTATAAAGCGAGATAGCGGCGCGCGCGTTTCCCGATATTTGCATAAATGGATATGCGATGGCGCGCCGAGTTTTTATTATTGCTCGCTCGCGTAATCCCAGCTGCGTTGCGATTTGCATCACCAGCGTTTGCGAAATTCTGGTGCTGTGTCTACCGAGAGGCACTTTGCGTTTGTTTTTCGAGCCATTACACGGCTCCTCTTTATGTCTTCAACAAGCAAGAGAGAAAAGCCAAAGGGTTAATTTGTATTGCAAATGAGCCGCCGCCGTGTCCATCATCAAAGAAAAGACGTGGAGCTGCGTCTGCGCGATAAATTACTTCTCAAATCCTGAATGGCTTGTAAGTGGACGTGCTATAAATACTAAAAAATAAATAAAATATATTCTCGTTGAGACGCGCGTTTGAGTTAGTTGTAATCGTGGTTCACAAGGCTGAGAAAGACCTCCAGGGTGGGTCTCTGAATTTCGCGTGTCTTGTCTGAATATCAATTTCATGATCAGATTGGTCGATATCTTATTTAATAAAAATCAAATAATGTTTACAAACAAAATAAAACACTTAATTTATAAGTCATTTAAGAACTAGAACTTGAATCACCAATGAAATCAATAAATATTCAATAAATGGTTCAAAATTTAAATAATGATCAAACAGTTGTTCCAGAAGGGAAACCTGTTAGAAAAGCCGCCTCATCATAATTTAAAGGTCAGTTAATTATTTAAATAATTATTCCATTCAAAATCAGGAAAAATTTGCACGCACACGTGAGCATATATTTTTTGCTCGGAAACAAACAAAATAAATTTATTCCGTCGCGTCGACCTTGCGACTCTCAGCCAAAAGTTGTTTTAAAATTTAACACTGAGTCTCATGAGGGCCATCGCCATAAATCTCTTCATTTAGTTGGTACTTTTTCCCGCCATCAGCAGAAATTTGCACTCGGCCCGAGGGGGGCGTGAGTTCGCAACTTTCGTTTTGGGGGGATGGATGGACACACAGGGTGTGTATGCAGTGGTGCGCCCGGGGGCCATATTAATTGTCCAATTGTGCTGACCGCACGGCCGGTTTGAAATGAGACTGGGGATATTGGGAGTGCAATTACGGCGCAGATAACGCATGGAGTTTCCACACCTGGGGAGCCGTACATGAATAAAACTGTTTGCCATGCATGCAAAATAATCTACAACTCGGACCATAACGGCGCGCGCTCGGCGGCATTATGCCCCGGCCAGCCAGCCGGAGGATTTAGGGGCATTAAAGAGTTAAATTTATGACATGGTATGCAGATTATGGAGCGTTCCATTATTATCATTACAGCACACACACGCTGCTGGACAATATGCAAATTCGACGTGCTCGGCCTGAATATGCACATACAGCAGTGTGTGCTGTTTGCGGCTCAAACTTTCCGCTTCGTCTAATGAATTTTGCAGTCGCAGGACCGGGCGAAACTGCCGGCAAAGTGCAGTTTATTCCGGCGGTCGCCAAAGCACGCGGCTCATATAAAAGATGGCCGCGTGGCTTAATTGGAATTTTAATGTCCTGTGATGTATTTTCATATTATTTTCCTGAGAGGAAACGGACTGAAAATTCTGATTTATTATTAAGCAAAACGTCTGTTATAATTTCCTTTGCCTTTGTGATAGATCAATAAACACAATTTGCAACTAATTTCATTTATATATCAAAATCTTGATAAAAAAAATATGCTTGTAGGTATTACCAAATATTTTGGAACATTTATTATTATTTCTTTTGTTGAAATAATTTTATTTCCAGCACTATTTATTAACTACAAATTACAATATTCAAGTTATTCTATTTACATATTCGCCTGTATTAATTTTATTTTCCTCATATCGTTCAAATAACAACAATTCTGAATCTTGCATGCGGAACAAAATGGAAATTACCTCTACAACAGAGTCATATAATTTATAGTCGTGTTTTATTCGTTTTATTAATCCAATATTTACACTGCAAACATAAGTGTATATCTCTCTATTTGACAGCTCAATGCTTTGTATGTTTGCAACTTTGCATCACAATAGGGCCATAAATTCCATTCGGTCGAGCCAAAAGTTTCAATCACAGGACATAATATATATATATAACAAAAGCCCCTCCTCGCGAATCACCCGCGATAGAAATGGCTGGTTATGAATATTTTTCCAATCACTCCTTTCGAAAAGTGAATGGCCAGCTGCTCATCTCGCTATACTTTTACTCTTTATATATTCGCTTTGACATTTAAAACCGACGCGCGATTGGCCGGGAGGCGAAGCGGCCATGATGCACTTTGGTGTTAGTGAATAAAAATTTTGCATGTGAATAAGTAATGAAGCCATCTGCACTTTCCAATAAGCCGATCTCCAAGAAAATTAGCATGAGAATGAAAGGATGCGTCGATTGAGCAGCAGAGCGAGAAGAGTGTCTTCGTCGTGTCGGCAAACACGGAGTAAAAAAGCGCTTCGGCGCGCGATATTAGCGTTAGATTATTGACTCAAGTGAGTGCGAATGGCTTTTTAAGTGCGTCGCTCGTCTAATTTATTCGAGACTCTGTCAACAACACGCTCATACAAGAAGACGTTGCTTTTTGCAGATATGGCGCCGGCTTATATACGAACGTGCCGTTTCGCTCGGCGCAATCTCTTTTTCCTTCCTATAGCTCGGGCCGCAGCTGCGTGCGCTAAAAACCAGCCGTATATGATGATGATCGCACACCGAATGGCATCGTGCGTGTTTTTTTTTATGATATTGAGACGAGCAGGTTCTCGTATGCAGACGGATGGGATAAAATTTTAAAAACCTTTGGTGGGTGCTGCTGGGAACAGGTGTGAAGTGAATTAATTATATGAACTTGGCATTAGATAAGCTAATTAACACTCCATTTGATGCTAACATTTTAATGAGATAATTAAGGATTGTCTTAAATCCTAGTCTTTCTTTGTATTCAAATGAGGTTCCCTCAGCATTTAATTTTTACCGTCGTCATAAAACATGCATGAAGATGCCACAAATCTTTTAAGCATTTGACTGATGCACGTTTGAAATATCGATAAATATCCCGTAATTAATTGAACATGCGCATAAATATGCAGAAATGAGCCATTAAAAATAATTAAATTTTTTCAAAGCAGCAGGTTTCCTTACTTGTATATTTCCAACCAGCGGCGAGAGCTTAATTAGCTTTTGAAATATATTTAGCTGCCGACATTAAATTGCATCTGCATGACTCCTTACACAATTAAATACAACATTGCCGAGGCTGGCGGTCGTTAAGGCTGTTGAGAGATCAGGAGGATATGCTCAAGGATCAGATGCGGGTGCATCGTGAGGCGAATTTGGCTGCCAGGAGGCAGAACAATGAGCCATTGACGGCCGTGTAATTGCGCCACGCTGAATGAAATATAAAATAACGATACGTTACATACACTTCTGCACGATGATGATGAAAGGGTTTATTGTTTTCAGTCACAGCAGTCAAAATGTATTAAACTTAACCTACCACAATGTAGCGTAATAAAACGAGCAACGAGGAAGCAGCTACAGCCCCTTTTATGTTCTTTTTATGTTAACCGGACAGGTTAAAGTATAAAATGAGCGCATAAAATTTTTTATAATACTCCCCGCCTGCATAGCTTTTTCCCGGCCGGTGCCCATTTTCCGTTCTGCTGACTTATTTATACCGCGGGCCGAACGAGCGTTCGGGATCTTGTCACGGCCCATCGAGCACGCCCTTTCGGCACTGGGCTTTATTGAAATTGCAGAATCGCGAAATTACTGCACATTTCCCCAAGATTGGCAAGATTGACTTGTGTCGTGTAATAACTTGGCATAGTGGGTCATTTCCTGAACATTGTAAAAGTTTATTGAACAGAAACTTGTTACGAAAATATTTAATTTTCAAATAAAAAAATATATCACGGAACTTATATTTTTATAACTAAATAAAAAAATTTCGGGAAAATCCCAGCAATTTTTTTTAATCAAGTTTCAGAATAAAAAAAATTTACTCTGATACTTATCTTTTATTGGATGTAATTATGTACAAATGAGCAAACTTTAAGTAAATCTCCATTCTAGTTACACCAGGTAATTTGACCATGGTTAAAATGAAAATAAAATATTTAGCTCTTGGATATTCATGAAATTAAATATTAAATAATGTAAAAGCTGAAATTCAGTCATTTTACTTTCAAATTAAGCACATTTATAGTTATAGCTCACAATTAAACACCATCTTTGCCAGGACTAATTAAAATTGGTGACTTTAAATCGCAAAAATATGCATATTTATTTAACATCATTATTAATTCGACGGACCTGAACAGGTAGTACTATTACTTCTTATCATCATTTTCTTAGAAATGTTTATGCAATGGTGTGTGTGCGAGCGTATACAGCTGAGCAGCGCCGATGGTGTCGTTTGAAAATAAGCCCATCAGCTCATCCTATTTAGCAGTTGCCACGGCCATTCAGTGAGCCATTTCTTGATATTGGCTTTGCTCACACACACAGAGCAGCTCTGGGGTGTTATTTAGACGCAAGCAAATGGCCCTTGCAGGCTCGGCTGCGCTACTTCGCCACCGCCGGCAAAACTTTATTATTTGCTCCACGCTTTATATATACGCAGGATGGAAAATTATTTTCTACTCGGCCATTGTCTTCATGGCTTGATTTAGAAAAACGCCGGCGCGCGCAGCACCACTGGTGGCAGCCGGGGAAAAATTGAGAAAAAGAGAGAAAAGACCCAAGTCAAAAGTCAGCCGGGGAAAGAAACTGGAGGAGCACCGAGCCGGAAAAATGTCAGTGTAATTTACGTGGAGTTTGAGGACATAAGGGCGTGGGCGCCGGACAAGGTGCAGGTCGGCGCGGGGCATAAATTCCCAGCGATCGGATAATAAATTTGTAAACCATAAACGGAGGAAATGTAGTAGTATGGCCTTGGAATTTGATAACTACAATTCATCGATTTTTATTAAAATAATAAATGCATTTTATAAATCTTCAATTATCCAAGGAAGCTTTCAGAGAACTTTTTCACTTCTAAAAATGGAACTTGCGAGTAATTTTCTTTAATTACCAGTACAGAAATTATTACTCTAATTAAAGTAATTTCGCTCTCTCATCGCACCATCAGGATATTTTTTCCTCTGGAATGCCAGCGCGAAGTCCCATGCGAGTTTTTCTTCTTTAATCTCTCGCTTCGCCGGCGCTTTACTTTAGACATATAAGCGGTGAGCCATGCGGCCATTATTTTTAACGAGCCCGTCGTGTTTTCTCTCTCTGGCTGCTGCTGCAGTTGCAGCGCTGCTCATTATTTGTCCGCACCCCAACAGAAGCCGGCGTGCACTAATTACAAAAAAGGTGGAGGAGGCGGCTGTGCTATGCATTGTTCTTTAGCTCCCTCTCTTCGGCTAAAGTTCGTTGCTTGCGCCGGCATTTGCTTATAACTCATGGGAGCAATGCTGCAGCAAGCAAGGGGGACCGGCCTTCGGGCCTTGCTTGCAAATAAAAGAGATTCTGCTGCCGGGAACGTGGACGGAATGCATAGCGGCATCTTATGAGAGCGTCTCTGCTCCTCAATATGCTGCGCCGCCGTGAATACTGAGAGGGAACTGCTGCCTTCTCGGCGCACAAAAGCACAGATTAACACGAGAATTTTTGGTACAATCGCACCTTTCATAGCACTCGGCCACATGTGCCTTGGGGCTTTTCTTAATTTCTACTGCGGCACTTCATTCCCCGCTTGTTGTTATTGCGAATGTTACACGCACCTGCATTTTTCCTAATTAAATGTGTTAATTTTGCCTCTTGTTACAGAGACCACCGGGGATGACAATGGCTACAGCGAATATTTGAGCTATGCAACCCGCTCAACATGTATGCTCAAATGGTGGTATGTTGGCCAATACAAATAAAATAAAATCAATTCTAATTTATCAAAACTAAATGTTAATTATAGTATGAATTTAATAAATTACTAAGGATTTGTCTCTATTAAAAATAGAAAAACTGTAATTTATAGGAAATCATTTAACTAAACATAAATTTAAAATTAATAAAGTTAGCAAAAAATAGTTTAAAATGATTACAAATATTTTAAAATATAAACTAATTTTTTTAAACTTAAAATTAAAAAAATATTAGTATAAAGGGCACATGTGAATTTGAATTCTCAAAACAAAAATAAGTAAATAAAAATACATTATAACACAGAATATGGTGAATATGCTTTTGAAAATTCAGCGTTTCCAGAAAACAAGCAGGAATTGCAAATTGTAAATTTCCACCCAGGATTGCGTGGTGTGTGAATTTGAGGTGCGGAACAACAGCAGGCGCGCACAATGAGTTGCCTCTCGGACAAAAAATTCGGCACGCCCTGGCAAAACTTTCCCTGCGCGCAGCAGCAGAGGCTTTTTGCGCCATTAACGCGGCAATATTGAGCGAACACGCCGACCAGTGCGTCTAATTTATTGTTTCAAATTATCTCTGGCGGGCCTGATGGCGCAGCAGAACACGTAGCTAGAGAGCAGGGGAATGCATATGCGCTCACATATACACAGCGTTACATAATGCATGTGAAGCGAGATACAGCCCCGGCACATCCATTGAGAGCAAATCCCCTCGCCGCCGCGCACACTTTGCATGAAAATCTCGACATATTCAGATGACGTTTCGGTTATGCGAGAGAACTACGCTAAAATTTATGTGCGGAGGCGGCTCCTCTGGCTCGGCAGAAGTTGCATGAGTGGCGAACATTCAAAATGAATTGGCCCCCGATTTATGGCAGACATCGCCGCCGGAATAATGGAACGGAACAATTTCATAAATTGTTATTTTTACGCAGTCTCCTGTCAGAATAAGAGTCTCGTTATGAGTCATGCTGGTTTTCAAAAAGTTTTGCCATTGTCTGAATTTCACTTTTATCCAAGTTGGTCTTTTTTGCAGGATAAAAGTTTTAGCTACACTTCTTGAAATTAGCTTCGAACGCGCCATTTGCATTAGTTCGCAAAAACCGCCCTCGCTCCCCCGTCGGTCTAATTGCGCTGATAGCCTTCATCAGCATCTGAGGGTGCGTTTGATTGTTTGTCCGGCGGCGATAACAATAAATTTCAGACCTCAGAATTGCAAACGCAACCCTTGCTCGGCGGAAGCGTCTTAGGGGTGGAATTCTAGCCGGGCTTAATATCGTTTATGGCGCGGCAGCAGTGGCACTAGTGAGTGAGTGTATCTGTGTTTATTGATCCAAGGAGCTCGCTGGCTTGGCTCGGAGGCTACTTATCCCATCTGCTGCTCCCCCAGCATCTCTGCAACTCGCACGCCCTGCCCATAACGCTGTAATATATGCCGCTATCATATCTTCCTTTATTCCCGCTGCAAAAGGCGTCACTTGCAGTTTTCCTAACGAGTTATACGCGCCATTCTCCGCCGGCAGATTACAGTGTAAATTATTCACCCGTATCTGCCCGGGATGATCAAATTATAACGCGAAGGCGGCGAGAGTCTTTGGGAGAAGTGTGAAATTTCGGGTAGATTGCGGGCCTCCTCGGACGCGGGGGGATTCCAGGAAATAAAGGATTCGTGCCTGGGGTTGGTTATCTTTTAAATGGAACTTAACATTCAGCCTGCTGTACGGCTGATGGATTTTTTAGATAGGCCCTGCCATAAGTGGAACAGGAGGCGGTGCAGAATATGCCAAACAATTCTGCGGTAAAAAGAAGTATAAGCTTTTTGCATACTGCATCTGTTCAAGACGGCGATTTAAGATTATGCATTAATTTTTTGTTTTATTATAAATTTGATTTAAAATTCTATGGAAATTTTCATAATTTATAAACCAAGAAGAGAGGGCAGGATTATTATAATTAATGAGTATAACTACGTAGTTAAGAAAATGCTGATTTACATTATAATTTTGTGTGTTAATTTTTTAATTACTATTACTTGAGTACCATTTTGAATTTTGTTTCACATGAAATTTAAAAATAAATTAATGAAATCTAAATAAAGTTAAATATGAACCATAAAATTTAATCAAAAAGATGAAAAAGAAGATAATTAATGTATTTAAAATAATAAATATTATAAGACTTAAATACCAAGATTATAGTAAAAATATAACTGTTTTTTGGAACTAAGCACGTGCCAAACGAACGTTAGCGGCTTATTTCATGTTTTGAGCATCTTTTTTTTAAATACTTCACGAACCTTCGCACACTTATGAAATACATAAAAATGTTACTTCAAATGGAAATTTCTTTATTTCTGCCCAATAAATTTCCTGTCGTTGAAGAAAATCTCTTACACAAGCGTGTGAAAAATGACTGTCGATTTCAGCAAAAGTCACGTTGCTCGCAGCGTGAAAATCCAGCCGACGCTGAGCTGCTCTTTTCTCAACGGCTAATAGGCCCGTTTAATCATGCAAGATGAAAAGAGCCAAAGAAAAGAAAGGCCAGGTGCTGACGATCATCTCACTCTTTTGACAAAACTCTCCAGCGCACATCATCAAAAGTTTTTTCCTCCATGCAGTGGCTCGAAATGCACTTCTTCCTTATTTCCTTTTTCTTATTTGACAGAATCTACGTCCCCCCTTTTTTTAATATTCAAGAGCGGCAGTTCTTTATTCCCGACTGAATTTTGGTCGCAATTCCGCGTGAGTGAGCTGGAGGAGCGTTATTGCAAACCGCAGCTCCTCTTGATTCACTCTCGCTCTTCTCATTCAACTCCGCTCAAGCAAAAGAACAAATGAGCCAATTCGAAACGGCACCCAAAATCCCCCGAATAAATTATCAAAAGCCGCTGAGAAAATCTTGAAACGGAGAAAAAGAAAATGAAATGCTCTAGCGCAGCCAGGGGCCGGCCGATAAAAGAGGCGAAAACTGCGATAAGACTCTGATATAATTATAATTGCATGTCGGCCTGCCATTATTTCCTGCTGTTTACGACCTCAGCGAAAGCAATTAAAGCGATGACTCTTAATTTGGGCGCGAGATGAATTAAATAAATGGCCCGCGAGCCTTTGTTATTCCGCCGCCATGGCGCGTTCACTTGTAATTGCGGCTAACAAGCGAGAAATTCTGCCTAAAAGTTCCATATTTATCTTGCTTTTAACGCCAGCTTTCCACGAAAGATGAGATTTTTCTCGTTTCCTCGCCGTGCCACACACCGGATTTATGAAATTTTAATTACTAAATAATATAAATTCTCGACTTTTCTTTAAATTATATATATAGCAGGTTCGCCTAAAAGGAAGGCACACAAAAAACCCTACTGAACTTGCTTACTTTCGCGTGAGAAAGCAAATTTTGGAGAGAAAAACAACCTGTCAAGACCAATTTAGTTTTGAGAATAATTACTCATTGTCGCAAAACTCGCCACCATTACAGAAAAGAGAGATAACTCAGGCCAGTCTGTGAGAGATAAGAACAAGTCACGGTAAATAATTACTTTGTCCTCCTTTTCGGTGAGAAAAATAATGAGTACTGTAAATTTCAACCAAAATCACCGTCTAATCAACAATCTGGTCGTTTAAATACCGGATTGGAAATTTCACCTTTCGTATGCCCTTGATTCAATCAAAGGCAAGAACTCGCTCAAAATAATTAAATTTATTTATTTCGATTACGACGACTTTCGTGTATGGACGATTATTAATAATCGTGGGGAACACTGACGAAAAAAAATGGTTTGCACGCCACGGCCACTCTCTCACGAGACATAAATATTGGTTATCATAAATTTGAAAAATGTTCCCCCCAATGGCTGCATTATTTATAATAGAGGCCTTTTCGTCTGCTGTATATTATTTTACATAAGCAGCCGTCTCGGCTCCACTGCGTGACACTGGCTCTCTCCGGCGGCGCGCGTGTATAAATAAAAATAATATTCAGCCTTTTTGTCATTCTCCACGCACGCTTTTTGTCTGTTTGTGTGTGTGTGTGTGTGTGTGTGTGTGTACGGCAGGAAAGGTGATCTTTTTCCAATATAAAATACGACGCGCAGCCCTTTCTGGCGTTCTTTATCGCCTGACAGAAACAAACCTCCTCCCGGCCTAAACAAGAAGAAAAAAAGAAAAGCCATATAGGAATTTTCTCTTCGTCCCTTTGTCGCCGCCGAAAAGGGAAAGTCTCACTCCTTTGTCAACCCCCTCGGTTTCTCACTCTTTTCTGTTTCCTTCCTTTTGTTCCTCGATTACCAATTTCTCTCTTGAGAAAAAGCGGTGACGTCACGAATGGTCAGAAATGGCCGCGAGCAAGGCAGCTTACTACTGGTTGAGAAATTACTCTCTTGCATTGTTACTGCTGCGAGATAAATGTGTGTCGCGGGTATAGTTATCAATTGATATTAATGCCCTCATTGCACTGTCGGGTGATTATCACTTAAGTGATTTATCGGCTAAACACCAGCAGGATGGCTTAAATTTGTAAATTATTAATTTGGTTTTCTTATGCTTAAAATTAATTAATACACATTAATAGACTAAAATTGAATATTCAAAAATTTTTTTTATTTCACAAAGAAAATAATAAATTATACAATATTATATTTATTTTAATATTATGACTTTGATTGTAATGCAATGATTATTCATATTCAACAGGAGATTTAAGTAATTTTAAACTTGGCAAATAAAATTATTAAGATAAATAACATATCAATAAATACCTCACCTTATTGCTTAACGTAAAGAAATAGAATTACATTCTATGTAGGCCGTCATTTGATCTTCTCAACGATTTATACTATAGAGATTAAATGAATAATCCAAAGAAAAAATAATTTAATGTTTATTAACATCTTTTTAAATAGAAAACTATTCTATTTATTCTTCGAGCGGTGCTATAGCCATCACTTAAGGTAAAGTAAGCATAAAAATTGCATAAAAATAACTACCGCCCAATAAAATTAGCATATAAGAATCAGCCGCCCAGGCGTGTGTGCGCTGCTGCACGTAACGTGGATTATAGTTTTGCAAAGCAACAAATGGCAATTCAAGCAAATTATAGCTTGGCCGAATAGAGTTGAGGGACTCTGGGATGGTTATTGCTCAATCGCATCGTTTCATTAAAGTGGGCGAATCTCGCAATTAAGCTTTTTTGAGTCGGCGTAGGATCCTGTTGCACTGCTGCCGACGAGATGAATATAAAAATATGCTCTTTATGCTCGCGCGCGTGTCTTAAAGCAGGGGTCATCTCTTCGAAATCAAGAATGAGGCCGTTAAAATAAATGAAAAGAGAAAAAAATTGGAGAGAGAGAGACTTACAAAATAATTAAGGCGCGCTTTAATGTGCGCGTCATCAGTCTCTCTCGGCAGCGAGTGTGTATTTTCATTTAAGTGCGTCATAAACAAGTGAAGGCTCTGAAGAATCCGCGAGATGCCACAGGGTTGCGGCAGTAAAGCTTAATTTATAACTCCTTAACTGCAAGCGGGATGGCCATTTGCCTGCTTTATGCGTTATTAATCTTAATTTGGTTATTACACTGTAATTACACATACACACGTATTCTCGTCCGGTGTGTGGCTCTGCCGGTTGCATAATTAACATGTTTATGTGCATTGTTGCGCCCGGCTTTTATTGCTCTTTCAACAGTGGCTGCAAAAATCGTAAAATTTATTCCGATTGTTGCAAATGAAGAAGGACTTTTTAACCTGCGATTTCCTCATTTGTATTTTTTACTTTTTGTACAGCTTGTTTTTTATGAGATATTTCGCCTTAGAGATTTTTCGTTTCATTTATATTTGGAATTGTTTTTTCTTCTCCGAATTTTTTAAAACCCCAAAATTATCCACGGCTAATAAAATCTCTGCACCTCCTAGAAAAGCAATAACTAATTCAGCTATTTTCCGGCTACTAATTAAACGTGCGAAATCGTATTATGATTTACAACTAGCCACACGCAGATCAAAAGAGTTTTTGTTCCCCGTCGGGTCGTAAAACTTGGCCGAGGATGAAAATGGCAATTATATTTTTGTTTCCACATAATATTTCGCATTGGGCAAGTCGAGAGTGCGCGCATGAAATTTATGGCTTCTAATGCGCGTAGCCACAAATTCTATTCAGGCGAAATGGGCGAGCTTGTTTTTTTAAGACCTTTCCGAGAATTGTTCCTCTTGAGTCATATTTCATAACGGAGATAAAAATTGTTGTTTATTGCGCGGTGCTGTTAGACTTCTCTATTAGAAGGAAGCTCCGTGAAAATGAAAAAAAAAATTACAAATTAAAAAAAGAAAAAATAATAATTCTTTTTGGAATTAATCTTCAAGTAAGTGAATTTGTAAAATTTATATCTCCAGCTGCATGATTTAGATCTGAAGAAGAAAAGAAAAAATCCAGCATGGCTTCCTTGGAAGATGCTGTGGTTTCAGGCCCTCGCCTCTCTGTGATTTATCTTGTTTGCCGTCCTTACTCGATTCCTTCTCTTTTTGTCCTCGTCTCGGTTTCATGTTACACGCCACCTTGATAATGGAGGCTCGTTAATCCTTCCCGTACTATTTATGTACATTTGTAAATAAATATTTTATACATAAGGCGAGCAACTCGCAAGTTGCAGCTTGCACTTCTTCTTCCGTGCACTTTTTTCCGGCTTCCTTGCAACCGTTGGAATAAATATTTTTCTCCGAGCAAACAGGATTAAATATGCGGCTGAGAGTTAATACTGATTTGCATGAGCCGCGACCGCAAAAGGGCCTATCAAAAAGCAGAGGAGGAGAAGACGGAAAACAAAGAGAAAGGAAAACCTCAAGGGTTCCCATAAAAAATGGACCTTTGATTGTGAATTATGCGTGTTTGTTTGGATGCAAACAGAATATCTCTCTGTGCGTCGAATAATTTATCCTGTCGCGTACCAAGGGAACGAAAACCTTCCTGGCTCAGCGAGAAGTCTGCTGGATAGAAAAAAAATATATACGAGGCGGAGAATTCTCTCAGCATGAACAAAAGCGTCTCGACGCACAAAAGGCAGACACGGACGGGCCCGGAGAAAAGGAATTATTGTGATTTATCTGTTAAAGATGGCCGTTGGAAGCGGGACAGGAAAATTTATTATTACGGAAAAAAATCTCCGGATAATCCCCGAAGTTTGAGATAAAAAATTCCAGCCCGGCGAAAAGTTTAGAGAAGAAAAGGGCGCACACCCAATTTCAGTTATCTGCCATGCTGGCTGGTTATTTGTGTTGTTTGCCGGCGAAATGATGGGAAATATGGGCCGCTAGTGCCGGCAAAATGATACGCCCGGCTATGTATGTTTTTATGTATGAACGTGCGGCCGATACGACGACGAGCAAACCACACAGAGCGCACACACTGTCAAAAAAAATCGGAAAATTACGTCCGTGTCACGGCAGAAACGAAGTAAAAATAGTACGGACAGACATAATTTTCTGTACTTTGCGTCGTAAAATACCTTTACGGATGAAATTGATGTGCGATTTTACGTATTTGGGATGTAGCGCAAGTCTCTGTAACAGATCCGTAATTTTACATCTCGCTTTCGGACTTTTACCTGAGTGCATGCATGTTAGGGGAGGAAAGCTCAGGAGAGAATAGGGAGAGAGGCTGAAAACGTCATCACCCACGCCAGCAACTGACAAAATTCAACCCTCGCGCCTCGGCTGCAATCAGTTTAGCGTCTTTCGCCACAAAGAGAACTCCTCTTTGCTGCATCGGGCACAACATCTCTTAAAATCATGGAATATTTTGCAGCGAAGCCGCTTAATTTCCAGTTGGAGGCCTCCGCGAGTACTTGAAAAATGTAAGTTTGGATTAATCATTTTTATTAGAAGAAAATACGTTTATTTAATGGTTATTAAAAAGTCGCGCGCAGCTAAAATTTATGCATATTATTTTTATTTTTTTAGATTGGATTTGAAGTGAGAACTTTTGGAATAAACTCGTCCCTCGTCAATGGAAGTTGTGTTGGCAATGCGCAAAAGGTATTTTATACAGAGATTTCTCATCAATGTTTTGCTTAAGAAATTTATTTTTATTTTTCAGACAGTGTTTTCATCAACGCAAGATACGATCCAAAAGGATTTTCTGAAAAAGACTACGTCAAGAGTTTCATCTACCTCAATATTAATTTTTACTTCATGTGAGTTCTCTGTAAATCCGTGATTATTAATTTATTGAAAATAAAAGTAGCCATTTATAGCAAAAATAAATTTTGTGATTTTCTGTAAAACTACCATAAAAATACGTAAGAAAGTAGTAAAACAAAAATACGGACACAGTACGTAATATTCTGTGCGAAGGAAGAAATTTTCTGTAACAAATCCGTAAAATGCATCTACGGGAGGGGAGGCGGAAAAGTGCGGGCGCTCAGGTAAAATCCCTTCTTGAGAAGAGACGTACTTTTACGGCATACGCCAGAACAATAGTTTGCACCACAGATACGTAAAATCGACCATTCCATTTTAAACAGTGCATTTGGAGCCGAAACAACTATTACCAGTGCACATAACCATTGGTTCAGTGCCGGGGCTGTTATTTTCAATGTGCCCTGGCTGCACTCGGCTCGGCTCCGGCCGTGTTTCTTCACTGTTATTGGGCTTGTTTCACAGCTTCAGCACTTTTCCGTCGCATTTTCGGATCGAGCAGCGCTTTGCGAATCAGTAACAATGTAAAGAATTGGAATTTCTGACAATGAGACAAGAAGAGAAACAATAAAGCAATACAAATCTCAAAACTTGGTTATTTCTATGAGCTGCGTTTTGGTGAAAAATATATTTAACTGCCAAATCCTTTTTCAGTTCAGTTTAAAATAATAATTAAAACGTAATAATAGTTGAAAATATCTTTATATTTTTGTTAGGTTATTCTTTTTTTAATCCAAATAAATTATTATTTGCCTTTATTTTTTGTTTTAAGTTTTATAATTAATGTTTAATAAAGATAATATATTCGCCTGCAAACTATTAACTAACTAGGTAACAGTATAAATGTAAAATGTTATAAAGCAAAAATATTATTGTATAAAACAAATATGAACGCATTTCTTCCAAAACTTAAAAATAACTTTTATTAAGTTTATGGTTTCCGTGTATGGTTTTATTGAACATAAATATTAAATAATTATGAATTAAAGAATATGTTGTAATCTGAATTTAATTCAGTAGTGTCTGATGTCCTTGATTCTCATCATTGTAATTGATTGATGATATTGAAAACGCATTTTGAATTTAAATATAACTATTTTAAATTCTCTGACATTTTTCAGACCGATTATTTGCAGCATTTTTACTCAAGGCTGCACCACATTTTTGCATTCAGAATGAACCTAATTTATTAACGCTCGCACTGTTGGCACGCTGTGCATTATTTTTAATTTAAAACCCAGACCACTCTTGCGAGTGGAGAGAAATATAAAAATTGCGATTCAGTTTCTGGACTGCGGCGGCTGCTGCCTTTTAATGAAAATGCATGCGCGAGTGCAATAAATTGAGTTGAACGCCGCGCCAAGCAAATGCAGCACAAACCTTGTAAGTGTTCCAAGCAGAAAGATGTAATTGCAATAAATATGCTTGTTTATGAAGCCGGCAGCAGCTTTCTAACGTGGCTGCCATTTGATGGAAATCGCTCTCGGCACGCCGATTAACAATTGATTTGCATGTGCGCCGCTCGTTTGCTCTCCGGCTAAAATAAAACGCATGCACATAACTTACGTCTGCTTTTTTTTATAAAAAATAATTATACCAGCACATTCATATCGTACAATATACACGCATACGTCGTAAAGATAAATGAAATTGACGATCTGCGTCAACAGAGTTGGCAATAATTCAAAACGGAGCTAGTATCATAGAAGGGCGAGCTGAAAGTTTCCTATTTGCTTATTCGCAATCACTGGTAATTTTTTTTTCTTTGATTGGCTGCCTTTTTTCTCTGTCAGTTGAAAAGCGAGAGTTTTCATGACCTGATTTTTCATCAGGCAATATAACCGAGGACGTAAAATCGGGCGTTAAATGTACAACAAGCCGTTAAAAGCGAAATGAGTTGTGTTAAAACACCTTAATAAAGGTGCCTTTGTGCTCGCACACAAAGACCGTAAAACAATTGTTGCGTGTAATTTTGCCGGCGGGCAAATGGCACTTAAAAAACTATTACGACGAATTTAAGTGGCCGAAATCTGGCTGCCCCCAGCATGCATGCACCAGCTATTGTAATGGCATAAAAATAAAATGTTTATTATATTTAGTGCGTTTTATGATGCTGCTTTTATTGAGTGTTTATGTCATTAGAGTGTAACCCCGAACGGCCGTAAAAATTACGCCAGCCAAAGAAACGCTGAGACTGAAAGAAAGAAAAGCTGCTGAGTGACACACTGCGCTGGCCGCCCTTCTTCGAATATATGAAAAATATTCCTTTCCCATTCATTGTGCGAGCTTTTATGGCTTCTCAAATGGTTCCGGGCGAGGTGCTAGCTGTGCAGGGGTAATCTTAAAAGTGCACTTTTACGGCCGAAAGAGAGCGAGTGTGTGCCCTGCTTCTGAAGAGCCCATCCTGGTGCACACAAATGCGGCCGTTCGACGCGGGAAATATCTAATTTTGACATCTAGAGGGTCGTCTTTATGACATTTCGAGGTGTGTCGTTAACATTTCTCTCCAAATGTCACGGGCCGAGCGAATTTTATTAACAAATTCCTTTGCTCTGTTTGACTTGACTATGCACGCGTGCATTGTGAAATATTCAGAGTACATTAATTTTATATATTATGCATGTATAGGGGATGGGAAGATTAAAAGGTCGTGAAAGCGTCACCAAATCCAAAATACACATTATATCCCAGTGAGAAAGCCTTAAGCATTTAATTTTAATTCTATAATAATAATTACTATCAAAATAGGTCACATTATAAAAATAAAAAAATTAAAAGTGTTTTTTTTTATACTATAAAGATATAAACAAAAAAAGTTATTTATGCAGAAAAAGTTGTTTTAAATAAAGAAAAAAATATAACAACACATAATAATAAAATAAATTTATTTTAATAAGTCAATTTAAAAAGTCTTAAGATATAATTCAAATTAAAGAAAAATGTAATTTATATTTTTAAGTATTACAACTTTGACTGCATAATTTGCATATTAGCATTTCAATTAACTATAATTTATTTCCTAGAAAAAAAATTTACTTCATCATTTTTTAAATTAAATTTAAGAGTAAAATATAAAGTAAGTGGTGAAAACATTGAACTAAAGAAACAAAATTAAAAACAATCCATAAAATTACTTGGAATCCTAAAAATTAATTGTGCAATTTCTGAAAATTTAAAGAAGTGATTCTTTAATTAAAAAAAGTCCCGTTAAGTCGTGTTCAGTCTTACGTATTTTAAATTTATTATCATTTGTGTTGCATTGCCAAAAATTAACTTGAAAACAAAATTAAAAAAAGACTTGCCACCAGTTTAAATAATTTGTAAACAAAAAAGTGAAACAATTTGAATTTGAAATTTAATAATAAGGAGAAATTATTTAATTAAAAAAATTCAACCGAACTCTACAACTGAAAATTAGCTTCTGCGCTGTCACCAGCTGAAGCTGTACCATTTTTTCTCTCCTATATCGTGGCAGTAGCATCTGCTTTTTATTTTCCCACTGCTATCAATTTTCAGCCTTTTTTCGGTACGACCGTGGAAGTGCGGACGGAATACAAAATATGCCCGTTGATAGACACTATGTTCATTTTCATTATCAGCAGCGGTCTGACGAATGGCGGCGGGACGACTCTTGCTATGTGGAAATGCTCTCTCGCGAGAGAACGAAAATTCCCTTTTCTCCTGCGGAGAGGCAGAAAAAGTCGATTTCGCAACGAGAGGCGGAAAATGAGGCAGTCCATAAAAGGGAAAAGGAAAATTGGAATCGACTGCTGCGCGCACTTTAAAAGTTAATCTACCAAAAAGTGAGCGAGGGAGAACTCGAGAGAGAGAGAGAGAGAGAGAGAGAGAGAGAGAGAGAGAGAGAGAGAGAGAGAGAGAGGGAGGTGAATTTGTATTTGTGCGAGAGAAGAAGCAGCGCCCGACCGACGTGCCGCTGCTTGTATAAATTTTTATTTCATTTATGACTCTTTATCTGCGCCGCTACAAGAAAGAGCCGAGCTAATTAAGGCCGTAGCACAGAACAGTGCATATTACACATCAGCCACTCTCAAGAGAGAGGGGCTCCGAGAGGCAATTTTGAATTTTTACTCGGATACTTTGCATAATAATTCAATTGCTCTTGAATTACTTGAGATATCCAAGAGAGGGACTTTTCGCAGCTTGGATGATTTCGCAGTTCATTTCCGAGCCGTACGTTATTAAAATTTCACGCCAACATAAATAATTTCGGGCCGCCCAGGACGTTAGTTTCGCCGGGAGATGCAAATAATGGTATTAATAATGGAGCACGGCCGCCATGCTTGGTTGCAGAATTATCATTTAATACACGGGCTGGCGTTATCAGCGCCTATTTATGTGCACGCCGAGTTGAGATTAGTCCCCGCTCAATTTCCACGGCCGTTATTAGCCGTGCAGCGCGAACGCAATTATGATTATTTATACATTGCGCATGGTACTCTCCGCCATGCTCTCGCCCGTGTTTGCGTATGATGAGATAAAGTTTGGCGTGAGTTTGTGTTTCGTATTATATACCGCGTGTAAAGTGCCAGAGGCGGAAACAAAAGGGAAGAGAGCGAGAAAGGAAATAAGAGAAAGGGTGCCGCGTGTTTTAGGTGAGTCAACAGAAGAACTGTGAGTGTGTGTATAGATGGAGAAAATAAAAATGAAAAAGGGTTGTACTTACTGCCTAGACCGTCGTATGGACCTGGAATTAAAAGAAAACAAAACATAAGTAAAACAAAAATTTGTATGGATAAATCAACTTAAATTTAAAGTTAGGGGTTTAATAATTTTCTCATAAATTGGGAAAATCTTTTTTCCAAAGAGAATGCTGCTTTTTTAAATCAAAATAATCCTGGACTAATTTTGCAATTCTATAGATAATTCGGGCTCATATAATTTTCCGCTCATTTTCTGTATATAATTCAGAATTTCAAAATTCTTGTGTGTGCAATTCTCTGTCCGTGTTTGCGAGACGCGTGTGCTGCCTTGTTTTTGAATTAGTCATGTGATCATGCGTACGGCCCCTGAGGGAGGCATGTCCTTCACTTGCACCGCTGATGACGAGGTTCATTTACCGTCACACTCATCTAAAAGGACCACCGCATGCATGCTAAAGTTTGATGGCCTCTTGTCTCTTTTATGGGATGACTTTAGTGATGTGTGTTATTACGCCCTTTTGCAACACGCGGAGAGAAGCCGAGAGGCAGAGCTGGCGACTCGACACTCTGTCTAATTACCTAATACACAAGACAGCCAGATGAATTACCTTGCCCTCATCACCGTCGCCGAGATTTACTTTTGATATTCATTGCAGGGCGCGATATAAACAATTAAAGAACATTGTGAGGCTTGATGAATTTATTTAAATTTAAAAGCTAATCTTTATTTTGCCGATTAAAAAAAATGAAATTGCTTGGTACTTGATTTTTTTTTCAACTTTTCAAGTTTCAAATTTAATAGTTCTCAAATATAATAAAAATTATTTATTTAATTGGTTTTTCCAATTGATGAATTTTTTTTTGAACCCAATAAACACTTAGTTTCTTGAAACTAAAAAATGAAATTGCTTGGTAATTGAATTTTTCTGATTTTAACTTTTTGGTATTCAAATTTAATAGTTCTCAAAAGAAAGATAAAATTATTTGCATTTAAATTTCATCGGGGTTTTCCTGAGTTTGGATTTATTTTCATTTAAATTTATAATTATATTAATATTGATGAAAAACACCCTCTATCAACTTTGAAATTGCCGCAGATGTGGCTAAACGGAACAAAAGAAAATTGCAGAATGGCCTCTCATAATTCATCCCAACTGCAAATTGAAAATGCGGATTACACACCACAAATGAGAATTCCATCTCTTCCATCTCTCTCAACCCCCGGCAAAAGTACACAGAACAACCCCCGCCCGACGACCCCGTCATTCTGATTATGACTATTTTTCTTGTTCGAACGGACACGGCCTAATATTTTACGGCCACATGTGCCACAATATTTGGCATGTTTCATTGAAAGATTGCAATAATTCGGATGTGACGCCGAGGGGGTGCCGCGCGCCAGCAGCGGTGGCGAGAGAGCAGCTCGCAGGGGTTGCTACTGCGCCGGTAGATCAAGTGGATGCCCCGTAGGGGTGGGGGATCAAAAGCCTCATTGGATCGCATAAGCCACTCCCCAGTTTTAACCCTTATTACGGGCATAAAGTAATGTGCGCTACCTGCCTTAATGTCTGCTGCTGCCGGCGTCGATCCCCGCCGATTTTAACGCGGCTCGCTCTATTGATTTTGCAACGAGCTAGCTGTACTCGATATGTACATACATATGCAATCGCCTAAACACCCAATAAAGCCAGATTTGCAAACAAACCTCTATTTGCATCGGAATTTCTTAATTGGAATCGTCCGGTGGAAAATATAAAAAAAAAATTAATGTTTCCCATCGGTCGCTAATGTTTTCAAGTTTTATTTTTCTCGTATTGTTCCGTGCGGATTTACTAATGCAAAAATTCGTGTATAATTGGCTTTTGTGCGTTTGAGCCGTACTTCATTATAATACATGCGATATAACAATGATTTCCCCGAGGAACGTTCTGCGTAGTCGCTCTCTCGCGGATTTGACTGAAAAAACAACAACGCCGCCGACTGATGGCTTTACAGCATGCAATTCAAAAAATAACTCGCCGTTGCAGGCGAGCCCCTTTTTTTCTGTAAAAATATAAAGACGAAGTTCTTCCAAGAGCAAGAAAAATAATCCTCATTGGACGCAAAAACTTCAAACTTTGGTCGTAAAATTTTATTCCCCCCTCTCGCATCATATAAAATATGTTTATCTGCGTGTTAATCTCTCGCGTATGAAGAATTTTACGCCGAGATCAAGAGTTATTTTCAGCTCGGGTGTTTCGTCGTCATTAATCACGCGAGCTGTTCTCAAATTTATCGCCGGCACACTCGAATTAAGCTGAATTTAAAACGCTTTTACGACGGCATTTGATGAAAAAGACCAAATCAAAGTTAACCTGCCTGCCGACGATAAAATTTAGCTGTGAGTTTTGAAACGACCACTATCCGCAGCGCGCCAAATAAAAATACACATGAGAGGTGACCCGCGCAGAGGAATTAGTGACAGCTGTAAATTTGGTGGCAGGTGTAAATTTTATTTGCTGTCCGATATACGAATCATCAAACAATGCTTAATTAAATTGTTCCGATGGAATAAAGGAATTGAATTGAATTAAATTAAATTTTGTGCTCATTTCTTGAAGAGGAAAGGGTGAATATTGGGAAAGAGCTATTAATAAAATGCAAGTTATATATTTTAATAATGACAAATAGTTGCAAAAGCTGTATAAAATATTATTTTCAAAAGTTCTATCAGCTTCATATCTGGAATGCAGCCACTTAAAATAAGTAATAATGTAATAATGCAATAATGAAGAGATTTTTTTAAGTGTAATTTATTTCAAATCCAAACCGTCGACAGAGGGATAGTAAATGAACCCTGAATGAACCAAAAACAACTATTTGCAAGAATTAAACACTTATTTTCTATATCATATATTATATAATTTAGGGGCCTAGACTTCCAATATAATTATTTAATTTATTTATTAATGTTAATTATGTGTCCATGTTTTGCACTATCCATTTATATGTGTCAAAAAATCTTACTGAAAGAAAATATAAATAAGATAATATATTATGTATATAAAAATATCTAAAACTAAGCAAAATAGTGAATCTATAAAACAATTAAATATATTTAATTTTTAGTATAATGTATTTTAAATTTTAAATAATTTATATAAATTTTTGTCTAATTAATGTGAATGCATTTCGCCCCTGCATGTGTTTGCTCTCGTCTGGAGAAAGAATCTTTCTGCAGATGCCTTTCATCCACACTTTAACGACTCTTTCTTGCATTATAATGGCGTATGAAAGAAGAAAATTTTTATTGCTTCAACCTGTAGATTTTACGATCGCACATACTCTGCTGGCAGCAGCCAAAACAGGCAGGAATCATATTTCCGCACATATTGTCGTCAACCCCCATTACACTGTTTAAAATGGAATGGTCGATTTTACGTATCTGTGGTGCAAACTATTGTTCTGGCGTATGCCGTAAAAGTACGTCTCTTCTCAAGAAGGGATTTTACCTGAGCGCCCGCACTTTTCCGCCTCCCCTCCCGTAGATGCATTTTACGGATTTGTTACAGAAAATTTCTCCCTTCGCACAGAATATTACGTACTGTGTCTGTATTTTTGTTTTACTTCTTTCATACGTAATTTTATGGTAGTTTTACAGAAAATCACAAAATTTATTTTTGCTATAAATGGCTACTTTTATTTAAAATAAATTAATAATCACGGATTTACAGAGAACTCACATGACGTAAAAATTTATATTGAGGTAGATGAAACTCTTGACGTAGTCTTTATCAGAAATTCCTTTTCGATTTGTATCTTGCGTTGATGAAAACACTGTCTGAAAAATAAAAATAAATTTCTTTAGCAAAACATTGATGAGAAATCTCTGTATAAAATACCTTTTGCGCAATGCCAACACAACTTCCATTGACGAGGGACAAGTTTATTCCAAAAGTGCTCACTTCAAATCCAATCTAAAAAAATAAAAACAATATGCATAAATTTTAGCTGCGCGTGATTTTTTAATAACCATTAAATAAACGTATTTTCTTCAATTAAAAATGATTAATCCAAACTTACATTAAATTTTCAAGTACTCGCGGAGGCCTCCACCTGGAAATTAAGCGGCTTCGCTCCAAAATATTCCATAATTTTAAGAGATGTTGTGCCCGATGCAGCAAAGAGGAGTTCTCTTTGTGGCGAAAGACGCTAAACTGATTGCAGCCGAGGCGCGAGGGTTGAATTTTGTCAGTTGCTGGCGTGGGTGATGACGTTTTCAGCCTCTCTCCCTATTCTCTCCTGAGCTTTCCTCCCCTAACATGCATGCACTCAGGTAAAAGTCCGAAAGTGAGATGTAAAATTACGGATCTGTTACAGAGACTTGCGCTACATCCCAAATACGTAAAATCGCATATCAATTTCACCCGTAAAAGTATTTTACGACGTAAAGTACAGAAAATTATGTCTGTCCGTACTATTTTTACTTCGTTTCTGCCGTGACACGGGCGTAATTTTCCGATTTTTTTTGACAGTGTAAAGGGACCCAATTATTGCAAATTATTTGACAATAAAGATGAGCAATGGTTCCGAGAAGCGGCAGCCGCGCGTTCTGGCGAGAGCTGGCTCGAAAACGGCCCGTATCCCATAAACGTGACAACCGAATGTTCTTTACACGTACATAAAACTCATATAATTCCAATAATATACGAAATAAATTACCAGCAGGCCGAATAAAGGGCAGGCGCGGGATACATTTTTAAGCGGGGCCGAAAAATGGTCCCCGAGTGGGAGCTCCGGCTGTGAGAAGAGAAAAAATAATATATAAAGCCACCACTAAATTACCTAACGGCTCATTTAGAGCATTATCTTAACAGCCTACACATTTCACTAGTCAAAAGTGATTTCAGTGATGAGCCTGCCGCAATTCGGAGCGCTTTCAGACTCGCTCACGTACCAGTATGCAAAGCAGCTCCAGCTCGAACATCACACGAAAATGGCGTCGTTTGATAATCACAGACAACGAGACAGAGAGAGAGAGACGGCTCGAATTTATTATTCACCGCGGTTGTTGGTTCATTTTCATTCGAGAGAGGGAGAAAAACTGGTTATTGTCAAGGTGCATTTATAAATCCTCGATCCTCTGGACAAAAAGAGACGGAGATACGTGTGTATAATGCTGACCATTATTCGGCTCAAAATGAACAACAGACACTCGCTTGTCTCTTCTTCTTCTCAATTTCCAACCAATCCTCTAACTATTTTTTTTTTTTTGTGAATGTCCCCGACTATATTTATTATCGGCGGCCTGGCAGCTTTTGGTGTGTGAGAAAAGACTTAAGCCCTTGTGTACAAATGAACTGATAAATACATTGTCCCTCGTAAATAATCCCATTACTGCAGCTTCTCTTGTCCGCCAAAAAAGCGAATAGACAAAAACCAGGCGGCGACCGCACACAACAGCCGTAACGGCCGAATTTTACGCTTAATCCCTCCAAAAGTTTTCAAAGCGTGCAAAAATATTCATGCTAAAATTTTACTGGGGAAAAAATTTCAAATAGTAAATTAATCAGTAATTTTTGAAACGCTGGGAATATTTAAAATCATTAATTTAATAATAAAGCATGCATTCTATTAAAAGTAATTAAATTTTTAATGGTACTCACCACAGACGACCCGGTCGAATGGACTCATCCAATCTAGAGAACCAAAGAGAGAATCTATATCAATTATGAATATTTCTTAATTTGCAGACCGACACTACTGCTAAATGGATCATAAAAACCAAACCATGAACTCAATAAAATCCAAACAAGAAAATATGTATATTTATTACGATCGATGAAACGAGCGTCGTTTAATAAATTAATTATTGCCTTTCAAATAGTATTACATTGTAGATAAACTTGCAGCCATGACTCTTTTTATTTCTATTTAATTGCAGGTTGCACGCGGTAATTAAATGCAGCTATGAAATCATTAAAATTAAATAAACGAGGCACTAAAAGTAACGCGTAAAATTAATTTTATGAAGGCACTAAACACAATTAAGTGAGCGATAATTAATTCAAAACAGCCTATCCCATTTACATAAAAACACAAAGTGCAAAAAGTGCCAACATAGTTGCAACTCTCATCCTTTTCTTTTTGATTTTTTTTTTAAGAAACCTTGACTCGCACATAAAATGAGTGTATTCCAAGTTTCATTACTAGCATTCACACAACTGTGGTGATGCAAAAGATTGCGACTGTCGGCAAAACAAAGCCTGCAAATGAATACAAATAGCGCGCGAGGGCGCATCGCTATATTGAACAGCGCCGTAAAGCGAGAATGGCCCGTTACCGGCAATTCCTGCGCCAGTCCCATATGAAAATGGCGCTCGCAGCTCCCGGCTTTACGACCGGCACTTACTCACAGAGCTACGCTTTCTTCAACTGTCCCTCAATTTTGCTCAAGAAATTGCTCAAAACTCATTGTAGTAAAAATGCGAAATGGAAATTGGACAGTTTCTGGTTCCTTTAGTTAAAAAATTGAGTTGTTATTAAAATTGGTAAGATTATTGAATGTAGTTTTGTTTGCAGGTCGGCGAAAAAAAGAGGCCAGCAACCGCGGAGAAAAATCAAGATTGGAGACCATTTGAGGAGAATATTGGTAAAAATCAAAGTCAAGGCGATTAGTCACAAGTACTAATTTAATGGAGTATTGATGTTTAATTGACCAATTAAATTATATGCTCATAAAAAAGTGATTTCACAGCTGAGTAATAATTTAAAATATTATTTAAGTTCAGAATAAAAAATATTCAAATTACATTGGTAATTCAATCTGACAATTTAATTGTTTTCCTTGTGCCTTTTTTTCAAGAAGGGGCAATAATTAATTTTTAACGATCCATTTCAACGGCCATTAAAATACACTTGGGGCCATTATCAAGAAAACACCGCATACCAAACACATGAAAATAATCACAAAAAACTAAGGAAGGAAAAGAATAAAAGTAGAAAGTGAAAACCCCCTTCGGGACAAATAAGATTAAAAAAACCAAACACAACCCTTGCCTTCCCAGGTCAGACTTACCAGTTATCGACATCCAGGGGTACCTCGGGATGTCGGGCAGGGGCTGGCCGGAGGCCTGCGTGCAGGCCGTGCTGAGCGGGTTGGAAGGGTCGGAGGCGGCGGCCGCCGTCTGGTGGTAGAACTGGGCCGCAGCGGCCATGCTCGACGGCGCCGCCGAGCCGTTCTGGTGGCTCAGGGTGTAGTTGACCATGGAGTCGGCGGCCGAGAGGCCGGTGGCCGGGTTTGTGTAGCGGCACGACTTGTCCGAGTCGGACACGGAGGCGGCCGCGGCCGCCAGCGACGTGGAAAAGGGCACCATGGTGCTGGAGGCGGCCGCTGCCGCGTTGAAGGCGGCCGCGGCGGCCGCGGCCTGCTGGTGCGTGCCCATTGACACGTAGGGGTACATTCTGGCGTGGTGCGAGGCTGACTGGGAGTAGGAAGAAGTGTCTTGGCCGCTGTACTTGGGCAGCATCGTGTCGATGAACTTAGAGGTCATGCTGCCGCATGACGAGGGCACCTAGGGGGCAGCACTGGCAGCACGTGGCCTCGGCCTGAGCGCGGCAAAAACGACGTCCGGCGCCACGGGAGGGTGCTTCGGGATTGAGAGGTGCAGCCCGGCCAAGTTGCGAGCGCGATGGGTTGGGCGCCGTCGCTGCCGCCGCCGTCAGAGAGAGAAAGAGAGGCCGCTGAGCGGTGGGGAGCCGGAGGGGGGACCACTAGCGCCGCCGCCGAGGCCGGGGGCCTCCGGCCGCCCGACTCAATCGCGACGCCCTCCCATGGCGCGCGCACCAAGCACCTAACTTTAGTCATGCTCCTTGTGCCGATTTGCACGCACTTCAATAAAATATGGATTTTCACACAACTGATTTTACAAAAAAAAAATTAAAATCTCCACAATGATAATTTAAAATTAATACACTTTAACGCGCAGGAATAATCAGACAGAACGGGAAACTCTTGAATTTACGGTCGGAAAAAATTGTCACTCAATAAAAATAAAATAAAAAAGTTAAAGATCATTTTTTTCGGACGTAAAACGCCATACATGTTTCACCACCTGGGCTTTTCAGATCACTTTCGTACACACACACACTTTATCACTCTTCTTTCTGGAAACTCGACACCATTATTGAAATTCACATTTATGCATTTATTTTGAACGTTACGCCGCATTATACTGATTTCTGTTCTCTTTTTTCAGTTGACAATGCGGCACGGGAGAATGGCCGGTGAGCCCCCGACAATGATCGTCGCAACTAATGTTCCATTTTGGGGTGGAAACAACAAAAGCAGCAGTGGAGAAGAGCGGCGTCGAATGCCACAAGAGACGAGCGAGCTGGGAAGATTTAGCCTCAGGGCGCGTTTCAAATGCCAAGCCAGAGAATTTTCAACGCTACAGAATAGCTCATTAAGCTTTAAAAGCGCTCTTCAGACCACAAAACGGTCTTAATGACAAAAATTCAGCTGTGTTATGTGACTTAATTCTCTATACGGGCTCTAACAAATGTCTTGCTGGTTAATTTAAGCATTACTGTTATATTGTAGTGGTGGTAAATTGTCAATCATGTTTTACATGTTTTAAAAATAATTTTTTTAAATTATCTGCTGTTCACTCGGAATAACTTTAAATTACAATGTAAACTGATATAATAAAACTTACCTGTATCACATGGAGGAATTTGAAGTATCCAAATGGCTTATCTGAAACAAAAATATTAATTAAAAATAAATTGTATTTACACATTGATTTGTTTGTGGAAATATGCCTCATGCTATACACAAATTTTGAGGACAATGATGGTGAATTTATCATATAAATAGTGCCCAGTGTTACTTTAACAATCACGAATTGAATCTTGTAAATACTGAAAGAGTGGAGAAACAATTTGCAATGCATAGATTTGTCTGGCAATCACATGGATTGCAATTAATTTATAATTATTTGTATTTAAATATTTAAAAAAAAGTATATTGTTTTTTTTAATACCATTATAATAGCTAATTATTTTAAAATTTTGATAACAAATCTAAATATATTTTAATAAACAAACAATTGTAATGATGGTAAAAATGTTATAACTATAATTTTAAATAATAAAACAATATGTTAAAAAATAATAATAATAATACCAAACGACATACATAATGTTAACATCTGCGCTGGGATATTATAAATTTTGTAATTTTTGGCAATGCATTTTTGAGGGTAGGCAAACATTGCAACAATTGCACTGTGCGGGTTGCATAACGTGAGCAGGAATCAGGGGCCGGTCGCATTATTATTGATAAATATTATCAATTTCATCTGGGAAAGTCTGTATGTATTTTCTCTCTCTATCTCATCTTCGGGCGCGTTTTATTTCGGCGGAACGGGCGAAAAGGTCGTTGCGAGGACGACCAATGGGCACGCCGCTCCATAAATAAGGCGAGCAAGCACATTTTGATGAGGTGCTCTGTAGTCCTGCTCATGCACTTGCCTCGTAATGCCGCTCATTATGCGGCGCGAATGAAACTACTGCCAACGCCATATTTATTTGAATATACATTTATTCCCGCGCGCTCGCACAGAGGGTCGGATTCCTCCTTCGGGGGTGCAGATGCTCGCTCACGAGATGGGAAAAACGAACGACCTTTTCGCCACTCCAGGTGACACGCACAAAAAATTGGTTCCGCGTTTTCATCTCTCGAGTGGCTGCCGGCCGCGATAAATTACATTCGCTCTTTTCCATCTCCCGCCCCTGGCTTTTCTCTCTCTCAGCGCGTCTCAGCTGCACCCTTTTTTGCACTTGGCTGGTGTCGGCAGCTGTGTGCGCAGATCCGTTCAATTCCCATTTGCATAGTTGCTGATATTGCAATATCAATTGATTTGCCGGGCGGCGGGAATGAGATGGGCCGCCCTCCCAACGTATTATTATTAAGGCATATCCGACGGAGGGCAAAAATGATGTCCCCGTTTGATACTCGTCTCTTATCTCGTGGTAAATGACGAGTGAAACATTTTGCTAAAAGTATGGGATGAGAACAAGAGAGCGAAGAGGCAATACGGCTTTGCCATCTCGCATGTAGCCCTCGCGCTGCTCTGCAGAACGGAGCAATTGTGCAACCTTACACTCTAGCAATTTCTGTACTCTGCTTCTTTTCCAACGGCCAGAATGTGTGCCATGTAATTTTATTTCATGTTGTGCTTGCAAACTTATTTTATACGTCGAGAACCAGCGATAAAGGACGAGCTGTAAAATTATTAATTCAGCCGTGCCGTAGCTCTTTGGAAATTGATTTTCTTGTCAATGCCGCGCGCACGCGATCGATCTTTCGCAACTTGGACTCTGTGTCTTGTGATATGGTCAGTTTGATTTCCAATAAATCGTAACAAAATGACGTGGGAATAAAGTGTAATGGAATTGTAGCCATAACCCAGGCTATGGAGAAAAATTTAAGTGACTTAATTTTGTAATTGATTTCTTTACTACTAGAAAATAGCTTTGATCGCAATATTAATTTTTTAGGGTATAAATGTATAATTGTGTAAAACCATAATCAAATGTCCTAATTATATTTGATATCTAAGCATCAAAAATTAAGCTCTCAGCTGAGTGAAATTTCTTTCAAATGGTGGTCAAGATATACATTTTATTAAATCAATATATTTATTTTATTTTTTTTTTTCAAAATAACAAGAGTAAGGAATTAACGAACTATATGGACCAAGTTGCTACAAGGAAAATATGTATATTGTGGGGAAAAAATCAAAATTATTTATTTAAAGAGAAATTAGAATAATGCAATAAACAATAAAAATTAAATTATTTGAGAGATGCGAGAGTTATTAATTATTTTATGTTTATTTAAGTAAAATTTTACATATCTTAAAATTTACGTCCAGCTTAGTTTCATTTGAGCTAAAGATTTAAATTGAATTAGGAATTTCAAACTTTCAAAAGCTATAAAGCAAAATCAACAGATTTTAAATTGAAAAAGAAATGTTGACCGAAAAAATTCTGTGCTAAAATATCCCAGAAAATTGGTTAACTTTTAAATTATATATATCCTCTCTTCATTATTTTTTCTTTTTGTATTTTTTGCAATTTTTAATGCTTTTCAATTAAATCAGAAAATTCATGGTGAATGTAGATTTGACTCAATCAGGTACAGCACTTCTCCATAGTTGAGGTATATTTCTGTGACCCACGCATTTAGAAAACTTTGTGGTATTTCTACACGTCCTTTCCCTCGACAGCTCGGTTTACTCTCGGGCGCATATCTTCCAGCTATTGCATTTTACAGCTACGAACTCCGGCATGTGGAAAAGATATTTTAGCTGCTGCTGCTGCTGCTTCTGTCCCAAGGATGTATGGATGCTGGTGTTTCTTGCTCACACACAGGGCACCGATAAAAAAAAACACATGCTCACAGAACGTCTCACACCTTTCACCACCTCATTTCTAAATAAATATTATTAAACACTGCAAGAAAAACAGAAATTTCACTTGCGGGGTAAACATTTAGAATTAAAAAAAAAAACATCAACTGCCAAAAGTTGCTGCAGGTACATAATGAAATTTCTAACCCGACGAATATTCTCTGGGAAATTTGAGCTTGCCTGAGAGAAAATTGGTGCGTGTTCTGTTTTGTCAAGAAACACAGAAACATGCCACACAGGGCGGCGGTGTGTGTGTTTTTGAGAGAGGCAAAGGGAAAGAGCAATGTTGGAGACGAGACTGTTTGGCAGTAATTTGCTTCAAGTGTATGAGGGACAATTTTGCGCCCAGTCCAGACGGCATCATTCGAGAGGAAAGCCTCCTTCCGTTTGCATCGTCGTGCCGAACACGCAAAAAGATCGCATTTCCCTTCAGCAAGTCAACAAAGCAGGACGTCTTCAAACTATAGAGGGTGGAAAATTCTATTTGCGTTTTCACTTTTGAAAAAAGGTGAGTCTGACTTAATTTAATTTACAATTAGATATATCAGATATAGTGCTATAAATGTGCTTTTTATCTAAAATAATTTAGTGTATTAACATTTCAAACACCTTCAAAAATTTAAAAATTAAAGAGGTTCTCAGTACACTTACTAATTGGAAAAAAAACTAATTTCACCAGTTGCAGAAAATTTATCGATCGGACGAAATAAACTTTATTATTGATTTATCATCTCTTTTTATTACAATATTTTTGAATGCATTACACAGAATGATAAAAAAATATATCTTTTTTTATCACAATTTTATTTAAATGCAAATTTATGTACTAATATGGCTACCTATAGATAATTAGTTGCCATTTTTAATTCGAGTTGTGATTTCAATTTTAATGATGCCCTTAACCATAACGAAGTGCAATAAATCCATCTTTTACGACCTCGGGGCGAGCAGTAAAAATAATTAAACTGATATTATAAGCAGGAAAACACGTGTATCGCACACAATGGGCTCATTAACTGCCATTCGATGAATTGCTGTCCACTTCATTAGGATTTTTACGACCGATTTAATATTCAAATATTTTTGCCGCGTCTGAGTTGTAAATCAGTGAGCACGGCCCATTGCCAAATGCGCCGCGTACGTTCAATTAGCCCCTGGTAATTAGGCATTCAAATAATCGGATGGACGCAAAAGTTTGTTTGGTTTTGCAAGCGCTGGGAGCGCCGCCGCCGCTGAGCCACTGGCCTTTTTACGGCTCCTAAATAGGCTTTGAGGGGCAATAAAAATTTTTATGGCATCGCCAAAGTCATTCATTCACGGCTGGCTGGGATGCAGGCGTTCAACTCACCTGCTTTTTATTATATAGCCCGTCTCAACTCACCTCTCTCCAACATTTGCATTTATCTTGGATTGTAAAAAATCGTTTCGTGATTATCTAAAAAATAAAAATCATATTTCTTTTCGTCAATAATTTATCTGAGCAAAACCTGATTCATCGCGGTCGTAAAATCAGCTTTAGAGAAATTAATTTTTGATTGTCGATATAAAATTTTAGACATATTTGGAGAAGAGTCCTCTTTAGGCGGACGAGCCAAAAGTCAGACTCGGAAAATTTTCGGCAGCGACGACTGGCGGGCGAGAGCGGAAGCGTTTGCATCTTTAATAAGGGAGGACGAGAGGGCGAAAGTCACCCCAGCGTGCGGAGGGAGCACTCGGGAGAGAGGATATGCAACACGCACAGCAGCGGCATGCGTGTGTGACAAAATTCAGGAGACATCTAGTCATGCATGCCCGAACTATTTGCCTTCCGACCAAAATTCAAATGTTGTCCATGCGAGCTCTTTTGAATTTCTAATACCGCCTTAGGGAATTTGTATACGAAAATAAATTTGGTTTTATTATTAAGATAGTCGAAAGGCGCGAGAAATGGAAATGGTCAATTTGGGTCTCATTATTGAAGTGCCAAAGTGTGTTTTTATTTTTATTCCCGAAAGCTGATGAGATACTCCTCCTCTAAAATTAGAGTATGGATTTACGAGGGAAAAATGTGCCTAGTTTTTTTCCTTTCGGCTGAACGACGAGATAAATCCTTTGCAGCAGCTTTTGGGTTGGTGTGGTGTGCGCTGAATTTTGTAATGAGTCTCGTCGCCAAAGAGATTTATGAATACCCAAAAGAGCAGCGAGAGATGCCATAATAAACACACATTTTACGACGCCATTAAATAAACAACTTAACTTTCATGCAACAAACTTTATGATGAATTTACACACACACGCACGCACACATGCAGCAGCCGCCCTCAAAGGCAGCGCGCCTGATGAGCCTCCAGTAATAACACGGCAAAAGTGAGCAGTTGAGGCCTTTTGCTTGCGGCTCAAGTGCCTCCTAGTGCGCTCTAGCA